ATGCCCTGCAACAAATTCCGGCAGAAGAATCATACCAAATTTTGTAGTGAAAGAGTCTGTCAGGCTCTGATTAATATGCTGAATATGCTGTAATCTGTAGTACCTGATCTCTAGTTTTCTGAGATTCTGCAGTTGCAGTTTCTGAGCTTTCTCTGGATAAAGTCATGTTAAAAAAAAAAAAAAAAAAAAGGAAAAGTAATGAATGTATCATGACTTATAATATCACAAATTTACCATATCAAACTTCATGAAGATGATTCATGCACCAGGAAAGTAAGAAAATGTTGTTATAGTTGTTGTCTCAGCCCCAAGTTCACCAACTATATATTTCTAAGTAGTTCTCACTGTTTCCGTTTGCAGATAAAAAAATGTAATCATCTGATCCTTTCAAGATAAGCTACCACTAATTTTAAACCCTATGACTAGTCTCTCTGTGCTTTTTGAAATAGGATCTCACAAGATTTCACTGTATTGAATGCAGCATCTTGAGTTGAGAAATACTTCCTGAGAACTGTCCAAATTCCAAAGATATTTTAGTCCTAACAACATGCATGTGTGGTATGTCATGTCATGATAATACAACAATTTGCCTGTATGTTGTAAATGAACCCATTTGCTCTATTTGCATTTTGTGTTCCTGCAGCTCTCTGAACTCTGAAGTTACTTCAACTGGCAATAAAACCAAGTCTATCTTTACTCTTTGACTCCTGACTGCATTTAAATCACATTCTTTAAGCTGCAAAGCTGAGGCTTGTGTTGATTTCTTAAGATTAACTATTCCTAGAATGGTTTGGGGTATTTTTTCAATTATTTTAATGAAAATTTTGCAGCTTAAAATTAACAAGACTGAAGTCACTGACATTCTTTACCCTGCTTCCAAACATGTCCAGTAAGAAATGGAGGTCTTCTCACCATTTGAAGTTCCAGAGCAGATGGAACTTGGCTATTCTGAGTCAGGGTCACAAGGTTGCATATTTCCCTCCATCCAAGCCTTGTAACACTTGGTAAGCATTAGTCATATACCAGGCTTCCTCATGTTGCCCTTATCAGTGTGGCTGGAAGGAAAAGTAGCTTTTTTGGTAAACTGGGGAGGCTGAGCTGAGATTTGAAATTGGCATAAAGTCAGCATCAGTCTCCTGAGGCCATTAGTGCAGCCTGACTTCTGCCAGCTAGTCTAGCAAATTGTTCGTGAACTTTTTGTTCAATGTTTGCTCTTGAACTTTGTTCTGCATATGGCAGGGCAGACTATTAACAGCTGAAGAAATGGACCAATCAGTGAAAACTCTTTGTAATTAGCTGAGCGTGACTGTGCTGTTCAGTGTTGACTTTGCAACTTGGCAATGCTATCCATCGCTCACGTTTGAGGAGGTGTATTGGGCACCCATTTAACAGAGTATTAGTTTATAAGATTACATCTGAATGCACGTTTGTGGCTGTCAGGAGCAGAAGCTAAAATATTTTTAGTGAACTCCACTGCTAACTAAACAGAAACTGTAACTAAGCAACGCAGAAACACCAGTTCAGTTATTCGTGACTCGGAAATACAATTTACCCAATGTCTTCCTCCCCCTCAGCCCCCAGCTAAAAGGTCTGTATTTACTTGGAAGATGTATTTTACTAATCTGCAACGTGTTAGATATCAAAATTTAAAAAGCCGAAATGAAACTGAAACATCCTCACCAAAAAAATTAGTGGAACCTTTGATAAAGCTGAGTCCAGGCACAACATTCTCAAAAACTTTGAATAGTTACACATGATTATGCAGAGACAAGATAATTAATGAATTCAAGAAGTACTTTTCAATTACATTTTTTCTTTATAAAACTGAAAATGGCTTCTTACTTAGATATTTAGCAGTACACCTTCACAGGCAGTGGGAGTGCTACTGTCCAGTAATACAGACTTACATATCTGTGTTTAACGCAGTAACCCATCACTTGAGCCAGTCAAAAAAAATCTTTTTCCCAATGATACAGTAGCACTGACAACATGAAGCTCTGTGGGCATCTGCTGTGACTTTAAGGCAGTATGTTATGCAAAATGTTTTTCCTACTGTTCCTCTATCCCTGCTAATCCTCATCCTTCTCATCTTCCTCTGGGTCTCACTGGATGAAGGAAGGTAGCAGAGCTACAGTTCAACTCTATCCTGAGCTGGGAATTCTTACAGAGTTCAGTTTTATGCAAGAAGCAACTTTTCTCAAAGGCAGGATGATATATGTCCTGGTTTATAGCCCTGAGCTGTATAGGTGTTTATTGAAAGTCAAAAAGTTTCTACACCTCTCAAGTACAAAGAGATCTGAACAGTCAATAATACACCTTCCTTGAGAATGCCATTCTAATTATCCCATTAGCAATTTCCCATGAAATTACACATTTCTGCAATCTCAAATTCTGTCTCTAGACAAGCACACAAAAAAAAGTGGTGAAAAATACTTTTGAAGCTACCAGTGGCTTTAAAGGAGTATCAGAAGATCACAACTCCACTGGAAAAAAAATAGGGGCTGCAAATGAAATTTACCTCTGAGTCCAGAATTTTAAGCAGAAATTAAGTTACCAACTTTGTGACTATCTACCTTGCAAGATGTGAAAAATCCAAGTTAGAAAACTTCATAATGCTGATATTATGGGAGTTCTACAGAGTTGTACCTATTAGGTGTTTTTTGTAATAGCACCATAAATCTAAAAGACTAAGAGGTCATTAAAACCACAAAAGAAGTCTGTTTTGGTTTTCACTGATGTCACATCAAATTAGCTCTAGTGTGGAAAAATACGTATATTCACATATGAAAATGTGCAATATGCAGTTATTACTTAATTGTTGAGGGGCTTTGGTAGACATTTTTATCCTTTTAAAATAGAAACCAATGAGATTTTCAATTAAAAAATCAATATGCCTGCACACATGGCTATATTACAGCATCTTATTAAAATATGCTGAGCACTTTGAAAGCAAAGACAATATTTCTGCCTTCATCGCCTTAATATGTATGATAAACACTGTATCTCTTTTCCCAAATTGTCAAGGTAGAGAATGAAAGCTACATTCAGAAAATGTTCAAGTAAATTCTTCCTTTGCAGTTATAATTACTTCTTGGAAGAGTTAGGGAGTTTGAAATCTTATGACAATTTTTATCAGTTTCAGATTAAAAAAAAAAAAAAAAAGATAAATTGAAAATACCTATTTTGGCCATCTAAAGAATTTGGTTTAAGTTTTCATATTTTGACACAAACATTAAAAAGTCGTCATCTTGAGTTTCACTAAAAAGGAATAAAATGTGATTTTTAAAATTATCCCATTTCAACCAGTGTTTTAAACTGTTCTTTAAGAGTCTGCACAACAGAATGAGACACTTGAGCTATTTGTGGTCCTGTGAGCAATCTCACAATATTAGTATTGCCCTACATGTATTCTGATTAGCTCACTGAGATCCCCAGTAGTATCCAGCTATTCTCTTCTCTTTTGGAGAATGCATGTTCCTCAGGCATCATAATTAATCTTACACAGCTCCTGCCCTTGTGGTACATTAATCACATTCCTATGGGCTACACGCATCATCACTGTAAGATTATCCCACTTGCAGGCGTTTTTTTGTATTTGGGAGAGGACAATGCCTTTCTATGCTCTTTTTATCCTTGTCATTGTACTTCTGTAAGACAGGTACCTAACATGATGGTTTCTAAAGGGTTAAGATCTACCTCTATGAGCTAACACCCCCTAAATGTTTCAGCTATAGGCAAAAGGAGTTTCAACAAAAGCAAACTAAATAGGCTGCTTCTTGGCTGAGCTTGGTAAGAGACTTGCCAACGAGACAAGGTGCTCTCAGAATTGTAAACAGCAAAATGAAAAATAAAAGAATTATAAGCCTAGTGTTCTCCTCAGGCTCTCATCCTCCTCCTTGGTTGCAGACCAGCAGCTTTTTGGAGGCTGTTTCCAGGCCAATAAAGGCTCTCTTTCTCCTACCTCAACCAAGAGCAACATTTAGCTTAGATATAATCCCACAAGCCAAAATGTTCTTTGTGCCTGCAACCTGTACCTGTGTCATTCAACAGACTTGAGAAAAGTAGGTATCACTTCTACTAGGCTTGAATGCAGAAGAGACATGTGAGATCTGGCAGATTTCCTGATAGAGCTCAGACCCCATTTTGAAAGAGAGCAAGGGAGATGTAGGAAAATATTTTTTCAGCTTTTGTTGTCTGTCTTCTGAGTTTCAGAAGTTCCTACTTCTTTTCAAAATCTAACTTTTAAAGCCAAATGCCTTCTAAGTGTTAAGCCCTGAGGAGATTCCCCCCCCCCCCCCCCCTTCATTCTGGAGCTCTTACTGTGTGGAAACCGAAAACACATTTACAGCTTGTATATACCTGGCAATTATAGACTGCAAAATTTCACATGATTTGAAATCCCCACCCTCCAGATTTGAGACCTGTTTGGACAACCTAATGCTACTTTTTGACCCCAGTCTCCCCCTGCTGAGTTGCATGAGGATGCAGTTACAATACACACTCTGAGATCACATCCAGTACCCCAGTAATGACAGCTGTTTATTACTATGCAAATCTGAAAGATTCTGAATCTGAATGGACAAAAGCAGCTCTTCCTAGAACCTATGTTCTTGAAGGAGCCTTTAAAAAAAACAACCAATAGAGTACAATTTTTGTTCTCAGAGGAAATGACAAAATGAAAATGCCTTAATGGACTACTTGCAGATTTAAGTACCTTTATACTTCCTTGCAAGTGTATGATGGGAGGCCTCCCTGAGTTACAGCACCAGAACAAAGCCCAGTACATTTATAGCAGCCCCCCAAAAGCTGTTGAGAACGTGCTTGATCCCAGTCTAGCCAGAAAGAATATATTTCAAGAAAGTGTCCTGAGTTTCCTTCATTCAGAGTATTTCCCATGTCCCTGGCCCTTTAGCCTGCCTCCTTGTTATCCTAGATTTCAAATACTTTTGTTATGGACTTCCAGTTTGAACCTGACACTTTGCCCATTTTCTCTGTTTCAGGCTGTTGTGGCACCTTTGTTCCTGTGAGCAGGATGAACTCTTACATCCTCTAGGACTTTGTGGCCTTGCAACAATGGGTAAGTGTCTGACACTGCCCCTGCCCATCCATTTATCTTCTGGCACAACTCTAAAATCCTGTGCATTAGAGTATTTTGCTTATCAGGACAATATTCAGCCCTCTGTGCACTTATATTTTTGAAAGATGCTGTTAAACAGTTTTAGGGGCTTTCTCATGCATTACTGTTCTTTGAAATACCGTTAGAGAAGGAGGATATTGGTTGTGCGTGTCATACAGCTTCGGAAATCTTTTGTTTTTCATCTCAATCCACTGGCCAAAAAGAAATGAGTCACTTTGTTAAAAGTATCCTGTCTCCTATTGCTTTGTTTAGGTTTGCAGCTACTTCTTCCTGAACAGAAAGAAAAAGATTACTCACAGAAACACGCTGGTACACAGATGATACAATGAGAAATTAAAACACTGTTCTCAGTTTGCTCTGTTTTCCTACCTAAAGAGCTGTGTGCTAGGAGTAGTTCTTGTAAAGGCTCCTCCCTTGCTCAGAAGGTGGTCAGCCTCGGGAAAGGAGAAGCACAGGTCTGAGCAGCACAGGCCTTCCTAAATTGTACTGAAAACATTTAAAATGCTAGTTGGAACTTTCTAGAGAGTGAGTTCAGTTTGGGAACACAAAGTTTAGTGATTGATATGCAGTAAAAAGCTGATAAGAGACAGTATCCATAGAAGGACTCTTTAAGTCTTGTGTCCTTTCCTTATGTACTCAGCTATTTAGGGTAAGAGAATAATATTATTTGCAGTGTGTTTCTGTATTGTTTTCCAGAAGAAAATTAGAACTGCAACAGAGCCTCTTAATTTCTTTTGGGCAGGGCATCAAGATGAAAAGGAAAAGGTTCCAGGAGCTTAGTGCCAACACCATACTTTCATAAGTATAAATCAAAATTATGACAGCTACCCCATAATAAGCACCTTTTCGTGCTTATGTTCATTAAATAAATATATGAACCAGACACTGCTGAGAAAGGGCAATCCTTAATACACAATTGATCGTTGCTGTAAGTAGTATAGTACACGACAGAATTTAATTGATTTGGGGTTTGAAACTAACCTGAAAAATTAGAAAGTGCTTCCTTTTTTATTACATTTCTCAGATTAACCAAATAGTGAAGCACTTAGAAGGCTGTGGTCAGCAGAATGACAGTCAATGACTCATTGCACAGATGGGTGTTTTGTGTATGATATTGCTACTTCTTATAACACTTCTAAAATCTATGCTGAAGCTTTTAGTCAATGCTATTCATGCTCCGAAGCAGCGCTATTCTCTCCCACACTCTCTCAGGACTGCCTTGCCACCACTGTCTTAAAGTGCTCTCCTCCTACAGAGTATCTGGTCAGCGATAGCAGCAGCTGCAGGAACAGTGCGTTCAGCATGCCAGACTGAAATTCATGTTCCAGGAATGTCTCCTGGGGGGGTTGAGCAATTCAGTCAGATTCGTAGTTAAAAGCCTTTCGCTGTAACACAATTACCCTGCAGTAGAGAAGAGGAATGGTTGGCATTTGTTTGCTACAAATGTGCCTTGCAAAACCTACTGTTACGAAATCCTTCCTCGGGTGAAATTTCCACTGACAATGGAATTTACCTATTCTAGAATGATAGGCTACTGTGCTAGGAATGTAAGGAAAAAAAATAGAGTGATCCACAACGTGTTATCTGGGTTTCAACATCCACTTTCTCAAACATATTAGGGTTTTTTTCTGTCTGAAAAGTAATAACTACAGCTGTCCAGCAGGACGCCAACAGTTCCAGAAAGTTGTGGTTTAGTGGCTGTTTAAAAAAGCATAAATTTCATTTTTTTTTCTGATTCTGGCTGATTCTCACTATCATACAAAACACAGAAGATCCTTGCAAAGAATGTATCATCTGCCTTAGACATGTGGGGCACTCAGACTGGCCGATTTACAGATTTAACTGGCGTGTAGCCATCCAATTTGCAATTTCCATCACACATTCTGCAATTCTGGCTTAGTCTGAGTCATGACCTGAAACACAAGAGGAAACCACCACTGTCTGGCCAAACAATTTCATCTTGCAGTAGGAATACTATGTATTCCTCTGCCTTGTGATTCCCACAATTGAGTCCTAGTCTTCCAGCCCACCAGGGAATAAAAGCAAAGGTATTCAAACTTAGCCCTCTTGAGACCACCCTTCTGCCTCCTGGCAAATGAAATCGAAGGCTTCCACACCTGGCAAGCGGGGCAGAGAATTGAAGCACACATATGCTGGTGAGAGTTGTGTGATACAGGGTAAGAAGGGAAGAGTGAGAGATGAATGGGATGCTTTACAGATTATTTATGATAGAGACAAAGATTGTGACAGTAATTAAAGCTTAAGAGAGGGCTAGGGAGGAGATAGGGCCAGACAATGGGTGGAAGCAGTTAAGTCACTTGTTTACTGCTCAGCTGAGATATAAGCAGGGGGAAGAGAGAGGAGAAAGGAAAATAGATGAGGTGAGTCATGCTACAAGTGAAAAACTGGAGGGAAGAAACTGTGACAGGTAATACAGGGAACAGGAGAAAGCTCTCTGGAAATTGGTTCTCAAGAGGCCCAGGGTACAGAAGGTGGTTTCTCATCTCAGGATACCACAGAAAACTAATATTTTAACACTTAGTGCATGTATTCATCAGTCAGCTGTATGACAGTGAAACTAGGCTTCTGCACAGGTCCTCTGGTTGATTCTACCAGAACAGGCATAGAGGAGAGAGCTCGACCAGTCAAATATGCACAACCTCCTTTGGATTTGCAGGTATTTGGTTCTTACCTTTGGCCTGACATGACCTCCCCCATCGTGTGATTTGAGCAGTGTAAAGTACAGAACTCAATAAGTCGGGTGAAGCGTTTTACTTTCCATAATTACTTGAAGCAGCAGCATCATGGCAGCATTATTTTCCCCCTTTCCACACTTACTTTTTTTGGAGTCCAGAACTGATATGCTGTCACAAGTACATTTTGTAAGGATTATACAGGCAAGGCGATCAGTGCACAGAAAAGAGGCAATTCCTAGACTTGTCAGACAAATCTGTAACCTGGGCATAGGACAAAAAGATATGATAGCAAGGTTGCTGGTCTGGATGGGGGGAGAAGACAGAGCATCTAAAATAAAAGGAAAAAAGACTCAGTTTTCATAATATTAAATCTAAGCTGGTGGTCCAGGTGGAAGTCACAGACACCATGCCCTTTTCTTCCAAGCTGACACAGGTTAGTATTTGAATGGGTTAAGTTCAATTAAGCTATTGAAACAAATGTCTTGTAGATAAACTAAATAAGTGAGGCTTTAATTAACTGTGCAAACACATGTAATCGCTCCAAAGGTTCTCGTGAGACTGCAATGATTTGAAATGAACTGGAAGAGGTGATTTTTGGAAATATCCATCTACTTTTATATAAAATAGAAAGAAGAAAAACACGAGAAATAGCAAAAAAATAGTAAGAAAACATGAAATGTAACCCAAAATAGCTCTTGGAAAATGGGTGTTAGAAAAACTTCAAAACATTTTGTGCTGAAATCTGGTGATGGCACAGGAAAAGAATGTGCTTGTTGTTATTTAGATCCTCCTATAAGCACAAAATAAGATCTTCAAATATTCCTTAATGCAGCTCTATGCAGGGAGCTCTTATCATGAGCTTCTTTTCCAACAGAAACAGTTTGTTGGATCTCAAACTGTGAGCAACTACTTGGGCCAAGAAGAGATAACAATAATTAATACCTTTTGTATCCTTCAAAATGAGTCATGTTGTTCAAAAGGTAAGAGGGATTTACTCACAATGGACAGGCAGTGATGATTCAGCAATTACAGTTTTAACAGACTGTCAAACAAACTTCACTGAACTATAAGAATGCATCTGTACTGATCTCATGGAAATGTACAAAGGCAGTTGTTTTTACATGACTAGAAGCGAACACATTACTCAGAACCAGAAGTATAAAAGAGAGACTGATGGGCAGCCAAGTCTCCCAGCAGAAAAGCCAAATAGATTTCTAAGCCCTCTTGAAGCTCTTTGCGTTCCTTCCTCGAAGAACATTTTTATAAGCAGTTATCCAGATTTCTTTTAAAGTAATGCACTCCTATCATATAGATCCAGATCACTACTAGTGAATGCCAAAACTACAGATACTCCATTCTGTGCTTGCAGAAATACTTGAAAATGCATCCAACGTTGAAAGTGTTTGTCATTGCATGTGATTAGTTCATCACAAGTGAATTTTGATCAGAAAGTTTGCACATAAAGATTATTAAGAAATTCTTGAAGAGAAGTAATATCTTCTGGACTCAGACATATATATATGTATGTACACACATATATATACACACACACATATATTTGTACATACATAGATACATAGATGTATGTAGATAATATTGATAAATCCCTGCTACTACAATCTTCTCCAAACAAGTCTCTTTCTGCAGTCCAGTTGATTTCAAAAGGCCCACATAGATACTAAAGTCTGTGTATGCAGGACAGAAATTTAGCAGTCTCTATGTGGATACACAGACCTTTTTCTATCAACTTGAGGAAGAGCTGTGTAAGACTCAACTAACTGCCTATGAGGCAATTCTCTTTGAGTCTGAATCAACTTTTAAGCCACTTCCATCATATTTTATTCATATGAAAATGATACAATGAAATCTATTGACAAGGCTTACAGAACTTAAGTTTTATTTAACCATCACTTTGTAATTTGAAAGTCAGTAACAGTTTGATTTTTTTTAAATAAAGAAACACTTTTCCTTCTGAAGTACAGGTCAAGGAAAACTTTGAGGGGCATATGGTATAAAAAGATTCTGAAAAATAGTTCCAACATGGATAGAACCATATACTAATGGCACTTAGTCAAAATTTCTTAGAGCCATCCAACTGGGGGTTAGAGTTCAAAGCCTTTAAAATTCAGATTTATTTCTGACTGAACAAAATATGTAGTGTTGAATTCCTGCTTAAAGTAAAAGACACTGAGCCAATCCCACCAAAACAAATGGAAAATGAAGACCAAGCAGGGTAGCATAAGATAGACCAGCCAAGCTCCAGCACTTTTGCATTTTCTCTGCTTTTCTTATTCCATAGTATGGAATACAACGAAAAGTACTTGTGTGTGCAAAAGCCTGTATGAAAGTATATAAATATATACCTGCACAGAGTTAAACTTAACAATAAATAACTATAATGCACTTTGTTCTACACTTTAGCATTTAGGCTCTGGCTGCCAGATCAGAATATTTTGTGTGTTTGCATTGCTTGGAAAATGACAAAAAAAAAGCAGCTGGAATCTTTGGCGAGTCATGCAGTGCTTCTCACAATCAGCATGTAGAAGGTTAAAATTAGAGTCAGAATTTGGTTTTGACATATTTTAAAAATAACTGACATTTGTCCTGGGAATGTTCAACATCTAGCGTGCATTAGAAAAAAGGTCTTTCTACATCTGAGCACACTGTAGCAAAACAAAAAAGGAAAGCTTTCAACAAGCCAAAAAAGCAAAACATCAACATGATCTTGAGATGCATAAATAGGAGAATAACATGCAGGGCACGAGAAATAATCCCTCTGCTCTGCTATGTATTGCTTAGGCCACTGTGTCCGATTTTGGGCACTGTATTTCAGGATGGTTTCAGTGTGAGAGGACTAGAGGCAACATGGATATTAAAGGACTTTGTAAAGAGGGGAATAATATTGTTTTCCCTGTCTACCTTCCACAGGGCAAGAAGTAATAAAGTGGCAGAAAATTTGGGAGTAGGGAGGAGAAATCTAACTGTGAATGTACTGGAAGACTGGAATAGCTGGCCTGAAGAGATTAAAGGTTGTCTGTTATGAAATTCTTTAGGAAGAAAAAAGGAAATTAAGAAGTAAAGAATGAATGAAAAATAAAAAATAAAAAATTAATAAGGAAATCAGGAATGATAGAACTCTCACTGAACCCATACATGGCAGGACGATGGGATGGGTGACTTTTGGAAGTTCCTCCCAGATCTACAAGTCTATGATTTGTTGGGAGGAGGGATAGCGTGCTAAGACATGAGCCTCCCTCCTAAGCTGTGAAATTTCCCGAGTGTACAGTGTCTGAATTGGCAGATTCTGGTTCTGTTCACATTCAGTTTGTATCGGTTTCCTTTCAGCACAAGTTTTTACACAGTTTAGGCTTCAGTCTTGGATAACTGCATTTTATTTAATCACTCGAATACAAGATTTTCAGATGGATCTTTTGGATTTGCCTTGTAAAGTTGATAGGTCACATTACTGAAATTTATGTCTCTCAGATTATATTTATATAAAGTAGTTATATATTATTATAACAAGCAAGTAAAAATTTTTATCATGAAATAAATAACTCAGTGATTTAAAACTGGATAAGCAATTAAATTTATGCTTTAATGCCTTGTAAATATTATTGCCTACTGATTGCCTAATACTTCCCTTATTTACAATATATGTACAAATTGAGGGCCACTAGAAGCTTCATGATGTGAGCATGGCCCATAGCTATCTCCTTTTCTTTCCCTATTCTCTTTTTTTATTCTTTCATCAGGCTTTTCCCTCACCTCCAATAAGCTTAATTGATAAAGAGAACAGCAATTAAAAAAAATTCAAGAACAGTCCTGCCTCTCTTTCAAAATACAGTTCTAAATCAAGGAATAGTATAAAACTGTTGGAACTAGAACAAAACAACAATAAAACTAACTTTTTCTTGACCTCGTATTTGCTTTTAAAGTTATGGAACGTTTCCTGTTGTGTGGGTGTATAAAAGAAAGCAGGAACTCTAAATACTAACTTCAGCAGCTTTAACTTCTCTTCCCACTCACAAAATAATGCTTTCATACAATCAGATAGAATATCAAAATATTAATACTGTTCAGATCTTCATCGACACATATACTAATGATGAGGCTGAGGAAATTACTGAGCGTGAAAGATGTGCTTAAATGCTTTATAAGTTAAATTCCAAAGAATTAAGTGTTTTTCTCTACACATATCATGATATTCACATATTTGTACACATAACACAATATTCATTATCATGAATAGCTCAGCTGATAATCAGTGATCTCCAAACACAGCATGAAGAATACCTGTCTAAATGCACCATGAGAAATGTCTTCCTTTAATGTGTCCTTTTATTATAGTCGTGGTAAAGAAGCTATTTTTCCAAAGGAAAGACAATTTCTGTAATTTCTAATCACATTTTTAAATGCTTTACATATTTTTGGTAATTCAGCTCAGATGACGCATATAAGCTACAGGAAAGAGGAAAAGAAAGAAAGGTGAAACAATTCCTGTCTGAGCATGACAGCAGTACAATACCTCACACAAGTAACACACTGAACTGTTTTGAAAGCCAGGTGTTTTCTGGCTTTTCTGTTCTTTACAAGAAGAAGCAGTAAAACCCAAAATATTTCTACTCTTAACACAAACTAGATCCCAACTTCCTCATTAAAACCAGGAACTCACAGTAAGAATCAACACACCAGTAAATGAAACCAATAATACTACTTTCCAGTTATATTCATGTCTGTTTTGGTATGCATGTGTGATGGAGCACATTTTGCTCAATAGTCAGCAATGAGAACAGGATTTCTGTCCCTCCAGACTTTTGGGGGATCTAAAACTTCAAGTTGAGTTTACACAGTCATGTTAACTTTGATCCAATTAGAGTGCTAAAGAATACTATACCAAAAAAAAAAAAAAAAAAGGTGCTGTTGAATGTATAATGTAATACTATCTGGAGCAGACTTTGTACTGAAAGAGCAATAAATCCAGAGCATTAATCTAGACTTTGCAATTACCCTATATGGACTAGAATAACGTAACTCCTTGAATAAGGGTTAAGAATGGGAAGAATAATAACACATTATATTAATTTTTTTCTGTTTTTTTTTCTCTGTCTCTCTAATGTTCAACATTACACAAGATTTGTACAGACTTTCCATAAAAATAAGCCATTTGTTTCTTTATTGTGTGCAAGGTAGTAGTTATAAATTAATTTATTACGACTGTTTGAGTGTCGTAAAATAGTATTACATTCAGCTAAAAAAGAAAATCCAAATGAGTTGGAAATCCTATCATTATAGAGATTAAGTCTATGGCTTACCTAAGCCTATATTTCAAATTATGTATTTCTGAATTTATTTAAAATACTATAACCACACTATTTAGCAGAGCAAGCAAAAGCTTAGCACTAAAAAATGCTGCTACAGCAGCCTGTCACCCTTCAGCCAGCAGCTTTATCTTTCACTAAATTCTAAAATGCTTTCCTTTCTTCAATCTAGTTATACAGTTTTAGCAGCATATTTCACAGCAACACTGCAGCTGCACTTTAAAGCATAAGTTCAAACTCAGTTTTTCAGAAACTGAGCCAAATTTAACCTTATTTCCATATTTGGATACCACTATAACTGAGATAAAGAGAATGAAACAAGTCACTATCAGAAAAGTCTTGCTGTTTTTCTCAACCACAAAAAGCCAGGAGCTATTATAAATGAATGTGGCAGCTCAACTACCTGTGCCATTTAGTCTGATTCATCTCACGCCCTCCCGTGCCCTCCCCAGGGATTGAACAGTCCCTCTGTAAGGGGCCGTGTTCCTTGGGAATTACCGAAAGGGCATGAAACACACTCATGTGTCGTGAAGCCAACACCAGTCTGGGGAGTAACCATTTTCATCTGCAGTGCATGAGATGGCCCATGTTTGGCTGAAGAGAAATACACAGTCGATGCATTTCCTTCTAAGTTACTGAACTCTAAACAATCAGTAAAAAGATATTTGCCAGAAGGAATAACCTTTGTCAATAGTCTCAGAGGAAAATGACAAAATAGCATGCACGAATTAGGCTGCTGCTTCTGGAACAGAAAGGTCATATTTGTCACCCTTAATCAAATCATTGCTTTGCCCAGCCCATCATTCAGCCACTGACCGCAGCAAGTACTAGGTATGTCAGAGAAAATGCAACTAAATGCTACTGAGGACTATAATAAAGTACCTGATTCTATATATTTTCTCTTTCTAGTCCAATCAGTTAATATTTACAATGTCATTTATTTTTATCTTTTCCAAAATATTCATGGCTCTTCTTAATAACTTTTAAAAATTAATTATTCTGTTGTTCAGTCCTGCTAATCTATTTCTTTTGCAGATGTCTTGTACTAGTGAATGATTCAATATATATACGGTTTACATCTAAAATATAATTCATCAAAGTTAGGTTCTAAATCTGTGATCCTTCTGTTTCATCTCTGGTCTAATCTTGAATTGGGAGAAGTAGTAATTGAAAAAAAAACTATCTTCCTATGTTTTATACTCCAGATTACCTGTTTGCCAAGCCTCAAAAAGCTACATGGTCACAGATTTTCAGCTCCTCTCATTTGGAAATCTAAACATTTTGGTTTGCATTTTTTCTCTTTTCTTTTTACTCAGCTTATTGATAATAGATGTTCAAAATTTAAACGTTGCATATTAGAGAGAAGTAAAATTTGAGGTCTTTGCACAGACACGAGCAGCTTATTGGAACAGATTTGCTGAGCAAGCCTGTTCAGCTGCACAGCACACAAGCTGTTCTTGGGATATGTCCACCCTCTGATGAAAACATACTGTCATGGGGGTCCTTTTACCTCTTGGTCCACAGTCTGAGCACTGGGGGCCAGTGCCTTCAGGCAGCAGTGATGTGGTGCTGAAAGGAGAGTCATATTTGTTTGGAGGATGGTGAATCATCTTCCTGGGTAAAATGCAATGTATTGTTGAACCTTTGCTGGGTTCTGTTTAGCCAAAATCTCAGTTGCTGTTCCTATAAAAGGGCTGGTTGCTGTCCCATCACCACCTTTTCGGCTAGCTAGAAAGGACCACTGTGGTCAGCTGCAGGCAAGAACTAGTAACCAACTAAGCTAAGAACCAGATACTGCAGCCAGCCATGTCCTAGTCTTTCAACCCAACCTGATGGGTTTTTTACCTTAAAGACACAGGAAAGATTAATAACAGGAAGTCTGCATGCACTGTTAGGGAGATGAGTTTTCTTCTGGTAAAGTAACAGGATGTGCATGAGATAGCAAAGACCAACACTGTTGTTTGATGACTAAATTATGACATAATGTGTGATGACACATTTATATAATGAATAAACTAATTTTGTAGAAATTCATAACCATTTTAGCTTTTGTGTTGCTAGAAAGGAGATCCCAGTGTTACAGAGTGTGTGGCTGGGCCAAACATTTTGTAGTGTGTGACGTGCACATTCTCAGAAGCACTGACATTTCTCTGAGCAAAATAAGTGTGCCCGTTTCAGGCAGCTGACCATCTGAATATTCAGTATACTCATTGCCAGTCTTGTTTGGACTTGTACAAAGTATGTGGGGACTTTCTTACCATTTCATCAATACTTACTACAAGGAACATGTCATCAGTACTTACTGTAAGGAGCAGAGGGCAGGTGGGTGTGAATCTGGCTGCATGCTACAGAAACCAATATGCCTTAACCTTGTTGTCCCACTGGGCTGCCTAGACCTGAACAGCTCTTACAAAATTCACTTGAACGAATGGAGTTCATGCTTTTAAATGGAAGTTAATAGACCTAAGACACAATGCGTCAGTTTATGCTGCAAGTTTGGATAGCACAGGCCCAATTCATCAGATCAGCAGACTGAGCCAAGGCTGTTTTCACATACTTCATGCTATAATAATAACCTGATAGTTGCAACACTTCTTGCTCAACTTCAAGTTCCAAATTCATTTTTGTATAAAAGAATTCATACCACTTGATCTAGAAGAGATGTAATAAATGTAGTAAGGCTGAGAAATGTATCATATAATTAAACCTTTGGAAAAGATACTACAGCATTTACAGAGATGA